TAATGGTTTAATAGTTCACTAAAAACCAAAATAACATATTTTTATCTGTTCCTATGTACTGTTTCCATAAGTAAATATTACACTTCCAATTAGAAGTGACTAGTATTCATTTGTTCATTATTATAGAGCGCTCAGTTTCTTCTTTGCAATACCGATTGTATTATTATTCATGCATATACAATTGCAGTCTGTGTAAATGTTGGAAAGCGTTTTTAATACTTTGTTAAATATTTAAGTCTTCATAACCTAAATTCAGTCATATTGTATGCATATCATTTACATATCTAGAGAGCACATTGTTCGAAAATGTAAATTCCAGATGTTCCTTGAATATAACTGTACTTTAATGATTTTTAATTGATATTTGAACAAACGTAATTGTGATATTATGGTAATGTAGTAAGTAAATGAAGTTTAGTCCATTACTAATCAAGTTTGCTTGTAACATCAGTCTTTCTCTTCGCATGGTGTGTTATTAATTTTGAAAGCCATAAAACTCGTATCGATTTGAAACATTTTCCCAACGCCAATCTGTTGACAGGCCTTGCACAGTAATAAAAGAAACAACATCCATCTACAATTCATTATATCTAATTTTTTTCTAACAACGGACGTGTCCATGTTTTACGACTTCTATAAATCATGACACGGCGTACAAAAAAAGAAACACGAAGAGCAAAGTTTCTTCGGCATCCCGTCAACTATCAAATGCTAGCAAAATAATAGCGCCGAGTTTCATCAGGGGTCATTAAACGAGTTTTACTAGCAAAAGTAACTAATTTAAAACGACCGTATTGCATGCTGGGAGGCTGGAGATGATGTTGCAGCGGAAAATCTAAACCGCGGACGGTCAATGGCGAAACACAAATACACCAGGAACGCTCTTTGTGCGAATGGCCCGAACTAAATTTATACGAAAAACTAGCTCGAGGAGCTGAAAGAGATGTATGTGTTAGGAAACCTAAAAACTTGATACAGATTTGTTACAGTTTATGAATTTTGAAATGTTGATATATGCGACCGACATGCGACAAGTGGTTACTAAAACTCGTGGGAGCAAAATACATTGAAGTCATTTTTAACTTCCCGAAGGAAGTTTTTTTTAGCAAGGTGAAAAGAGGAGAAGGAGAACTGTTTACACCAAGCTTGAAAAAAATGTGTGTGTATGTGCATGTGAGATCCCTTTATGGGATTTTGGACCTTTCGTCGACGTTTTCCCAAAAAGACTTGCACCCCTCCTCTATTTCAACACATTAACAACCCCATGAAGAATCTCTTACACCTAGTTTCTTAATATTCTATTCTTGGAAACCTATTACAAGCAAATCTTATTACAATTATGATAAATTATTCTTGAAATTATCATGTTTTGAGACTTGTATTAACAATTCCCAATGGATATGATCTATATTAACCATTTAACCGTGGCGCACTCATTGAACTGTTCACATATTTTTGATATATCTCCAATGGTCTTAACATAAAAAGTGTTTCTATTCCTTACAAGCGCTATTTTTGCAACTTCTTTGATTAATTTTTTTAATTAAACCACTTCTCATAGGCCTATAATGTTTTATGGGGTTTGTTTTGACTATCAACTCTATCACTATTCGAATTTCAATCAAAATCCCAAAAGAGTAAACCTGAGGTTTTACTTGTAGTGATATCTTTAGAATAGATTAAGATTTAAGATTTTGCATAGATTATTTTATTAAATAAAATAAACAGATGATCATCGGAATCTCATAATAAATTTATGAATATTTTCTTGGCACCAGTTTTTGAAATATTTGACTTGGCTTTACCTCAATTAAAAAAAATTACACGGAAACGATCAAAAACACGCACTTAATACTCCTCCATTTATATAATTACGATTTATGTCTGTTCTCAAGTTTTTCTACTACAATTAGAAATAAATCATCAAATTGTTATAAATCTTTAAACTTACAACTATAATATTAATTTTACAGTATAAATTGCATTTTATTTTGTATTTAAATTTATGTATTTCAAATTGCTTATGCTAATATCAGACTGCAAACAATATAATGGTGTTATTTCCTTATGGCTGCATCTGTTTCAAGCATTTTGGAACCAGCTTTTTGATCTTTCTCCACCAAACTATTTATGTATAATACATACGCTTTTATGTATACTAGGAATAAGTTAAATTTAATAAATAATTCTTGGTTGTTCCTTTGACGATAATTTGTTATGTAACTCTAGACATTTGATTAAAAGCATTCCTATTACTTTAGTACATTTATTTTTGTTTCTGTACTCATAAAATCTTAATAAACGCTGGATGGAGATGACCGAAATCGTTGAGGTCTTATTTACAAACTATTTTATATTAAACTATTATTTTTCAAGCGTGCAATTTTGTGCATTCGTCTATCACAAACATTTTTTTTACATCACCGAATATATTTTAGCAGTCTATTACAAAGAATTGTCGGTTTGCCACACGATTTGGTATGATTTTGTGTTACCTTACCTAGAGGAGAACCGGTTATGCAATCGAGTCTTTGATAATACAACATTACATTACATTAACCTGTGCGGCCGGCGAGTTAAAATATCAGGGCTGTGAAATTTTATTTACATTGTTTATAAATAACTTACATAAATTAATACGAAAAGCTTGCTGCTACTTCGTGGAAAAGACTTTGGTCTTGCGACTACAGGTTACAAATTTTAGTCTGGTCTCAGACTGCTTGGCATCAAGCAGTAGAGAAAATGTAGATTGAAATATGGTTTTAAGTGAAAATGACTTTTGGGGGATTGCAGCACATGCACATCACAATTAGAAATTCATTTAATAATAATTTCATCACAGACAATGGCTCAGTGGTCCACTGGGTTGCCTCCCAATTATTAAGAGACAACCTTGGTTATAAGGAATTACATACATGCTGATGAAATATTAAAAATAATTTTGATTGCTATTCAAAACATAAAGTAAATTGAAATCATAAACATTTCAAATACGATATACATATTATATTTGACAAAAAAAGCATCAATAAAAGTAATGATACAATATTTTGTCGATCAAATTATCTTCCTTCAGCCCTGTATCTGCGTGTTCGATGAAGTTCATACCCGGAACATTTAAAGACTTTTTTCTGGTTTTATAACCGGAATTTACATTACAATTCCACCCACATTTTATATTTTCAAATACTCTACTTTGAATTGATACTTTATCGAATTGATTGATTGACATCCAAGTATCAGAAAACGTAAAATTTATGTCTGCGTAGGCCTGTTATAGTTAATTTAATTTATTTTTTTGTAATTGATAGTAAAGGTTGTTAAATATATACCTACAGGTATTTCTTTATCTCAAGTTTGTATTTGTTGACTAGGTTCATGTCTGCTCAGTTCAGATAATATTCAGGATTTTGAACAGGTTTATAATGGAAATTCAATACAACTGTGCTCTTGTTTAAAATAAAGTTCTCGTGCTGACTTTATTATTATGTTATGAAAGTTTTTGAAATTAAATTTATAAGCTTGATTTTCTGGTTGTAGAAACTAGGATATTTATTTTATTGTTGGTAATTGAAATATAATGAACTCTATTTTCTAACTTAGAGGAATCGAAAATAGAAAATAGAGTTCTTTACTATTTTCCAAATTAATTCATTATAATCTTAATAAGATATGAGTGATAAATAATTACCTTGATATTCTTGTATAGTTAAATACACGTTTACATTACATTTTATACATAGTACTATAATTTGCAGCTATATACATACAATAATATTGCAACTTTGATTGGTACTAAATAATTTAATTTTACCAAGGATCGTTACATAATGATCAATTATTTATATTGGAACTAATATATAAGTATTAAAAATTTGATATAAATTTGCGATAAATTTATTGTAAAAAATCGCCTACATTTATGCATTTCATGCAAAATAAATTATAACGTCTATTGGAAATTTTTACTTATAAGTTAGCAGCGCTGTTTCTTTGTTTTTTTTTTATTTTGATGATTTTGATGAATCTTTATATAAAAGTAAAATGTTATAGGCCTACGATAAGTAGTTGGATTATAAAAATTAACCAAAGTTTAGAATATCGCGTTTAAGCGATTCTAATGATAATCTAACAATAAGCCAAAGCATATATGAACGACTCCTGTTTAGTTGGTAGCTACTGATTATAGTTTACGCCCACCCTCAAATTAAATACTCGTTTAGAACCAGAATTTTTTATTATTTTTTTACGAAATGTTTATTAAATCATGGCTTATGTTAGAAAACAAAGTTAGAAATCAAACTAAATTAAGAATAACGCAATCTTTGCTGAACAATAATATTATCAATCAAACTTTGATAACAAAAAATATGATTTTACAAAGTGGCGCCTAGTACCGGACATTTCAAAATAACCAGCATTGAACATATATGTAGCCATCTCCACACTCTGGAATGTCTGAACATTTGTGTTTGATGAATATTCTTAGATATTGCAAAAAAAAAATCACTAATTATCCACCCTTTTGGCTGGGCCACACCGAGATAAGATTACCATATATATTCATATATTTATATTTATATTTATACAACACAATTGTACAATTATAGATATTATATGGTACATAACTTAAATTAATAGATAATGATTGGATGAAATGAATTGTGTTAAACAAATTGATTCAAAATATACAATTACAGGTGTTATAAGTATGTTTGAATGGCATAGTTTTATTTAAGGGGGCGTCTATTAATCACGTGAGGCTTAATGGGGGAGGGGGATTTGAATTTATTACCTGATTTAAAAAAAATCTATTTTTTAAAAAATATTAGGGCATTTAATGTCTTGTTTATAATTATGTTTTTCGTTCTTTTTTGTGTCGGAGATGATTAGATTTCTTACAACTACTATATTTATTATGCTTCTATTTCTGCCTAGCACGTAGATGATATGTTCACAGTCCAAGCTTTCGCCAACTAAAATGTTTGCTTTGTTTTCAGGCGCAGCCAAGAAGCGAGATGTCGTCCGGCAAACCTCTACGCCGCCGGCGCTGTCCGAGCACCCGGTTCGGCACACAAAGCAGGCCGCCAGCCCGATGCGGCCGGTCAGGCCGAACAATTTACTCCGTGAGTAGTACTAATATAATAGATATATTGAAGTTATATTAAATTTTTGAATATGTGGTTATATATAGTTAAAATTTATACCTTGTTCAAGATATTCAAGGTTAATTGCTGTATTAGTCAAACACCCAAAAAGTTCTATATGGGCCTTGTCAGACATATATGCCTATTTGGTAGAACACAACAAATTTTAATATATGGTCATGTCAGTCATATAGGTGCGACACAAAAAATTGAATTTTTCGAGAAATTTTGGCGCTTTAACCAATATCTGTCGAGACAAACTGATCGGTCTATTTTATCTACCACTATTAATTTTTATAATTAAACCACTTCTCGTAGGCCTATAATATTTTAAGATGCTGAGTTTGACTATATTCTCTATCACCATCACCAAGCAAAGTTTCATCAAAATCCCAAAAGAATAAACCTGAGGTTCTCCTTGTTAGACACATATAACTGACTGATATAACTGGTTAATTAATCAACGTGGTAAATTTTAGTTTATTCTAAACTATATATAACATCCTGCTACAAAAACAGTGCATATCCCAGAAATTATGAATAAATAAAAATTTATTTAATATTAGAATTTTCTAAAAAGCATGTTGCAGACTCAAATTCGAGTAGAAATTTGCGATAGGTAATCGTTAAAATATGTCTGGCGTGTTTCGTTTAATAATTTTTATACAAATAATTTAAAATGTACATTAAAATTATTACATTCCACAAATTTTTAACTCCCCATAGGGCAAGTTATAGTAATCGTAAAAAAAATCGAAAATGAAAATTTTTATATATCTTTACGTTTCAAAGGTTTCTAAATATTTTGGCATACCTTAGAAAATATAGATGTATGCGTGTGTGTGTGTGTGTATGTGTGTGTGTGCGTGTGTGTGTGTGCGGATACAAATTTTCGTCGACGATTTCGGGAACATGAGTCAACCAATTTGAATAATTCAAAAAACATTTGATTCGTATTGATAAGGAGACGTGCTGATTGGTTTTTGGCGAAGGCAGGTCTAGCCGTTCCGAAGATATGGGGCAAAAAGTGCCAAAAACGGTAACTCAGTTTTTAAGAGAACAGAGCGTTCGATTTGAATAATTCATTTCATTTGTATTGACAAGATGAAGAATTGATCAAATTTTCATGAAGGCAGGTCTAGCGGTTTCGGAGATCTAATGAAAAAAATAAAAAAAATGCCATTTGGCGGTCAAAAATGATCATTAGACATATGCACATCAAATTCAGATATTTTATAGAGATTTCAACAATAAGTATAATTTTTGTTTACATCCCTATGGGTTCCGTACCAATGTTTATCCGTTAGACGGCGACGCGGCGCTAACGCGCTTTAACAATTCGTCTCTATGCGTTAAAGCAGTACGATTGCTTTGAAAAAAAAGTTCAGTATTTCCATAAATAAAGAAAACATTTTCTTTTTCAAAAAAAAGTAATTTGTTGTCAAATTATAGTTTCTCAAAAATCTAATTTTTTCGAAGTAAAATTTTTTCAAAAATGTTAATCGTTTTTAAAAAAATAATAATTTTTGGTGCGGGAAGTTCCAGCAATACTTAGATCAATTTGTATTTTTATTACACTGATGCAATGTTGACTTTCAATTACATTGCATAATCTATTACATTTTTGACAAGTGCCTTGAAGCGTTTTTTAATTATGTACTCTCCCACTGCATATATTAACTAATTTATACATGGGTTTACAATTTCTGAAAGGTATGTAAATGAATATACATGTAAGTAAATCTAGAAGTTTTCACGACTTTTATATAATATATCTAAAGCCATCGTTCTATTATTACCGACGCTATATTTAATTGGTTCGACATGACTAAATTCGAAATATTTGCATTAATTATGATTCGAAACGACTCAATGATAAGATTTTATGCTCTATTTACAGCAAAATTTCCAGTCGGTTGTAATTAATATTATCATTTCATTTTACGTAAGGTTTTAAATATATTAAATATATAAAAATCATAAATATAGATAGTTGAAACGTTTTGGCTTAGCCAAATAATTCTTGTACCAACTTGTTAGGCAAAAATGGTTTCTGCCAAGAAATATTAGCTTGGATCAAAGGATTTATATTACCTGAGTCGTGTTCAAAAATATTATATGAATAGAATACAATCTATTTAACATATCCAATCTCTTTTGTCATTCGGACCACTTTCACTTAATATTGTAGGTGCGTTCTTTGAACTTTCCGATTGTTTTTATTACATGTATAAATAATACTTTATAATATAGAGGCGTTTCAGTTTACAGTAAAAGTCTAGTATTGTGTTGATATCATATTTATGATTACATAAACATGTTACTTTGATTGTATAATTATTTCTCAAGTGCGAAAATTTCCATTTTATTTAAATTTGTGGTTTTATCGTATACGTGCGAATTAATAATAGCTATGAAAAATATTTCGGTATTTTGCTTTCATATAAAAGATAATTTTTTTGCTTCTTGTATCGATATAATAAATTAACAAGATAATTTCAAAAAATTCCTCGATAAAAATAATTAAATTATAATGAATGTAATTAATGTTACACATACCAGCTATATGGTCATATGAAAGCTTTATTATTTTACATTTACATTTATTTCAATTTTTTACAAAATCACAAAGGTCATATTCTTTTAGAGACATGTTCGATATTGTTTTAAAGACAAGCATTGTATGAGTTTTAAATATTTATATTCACAATATTTAAGATCACTGCAGTTTTATATAACTTTCACTCTCAACATTTAATGTATCTATCAAATTCATTACCATGCCTTATAAAGAAGATCAATTTACCATAGAACTTTATCTGATTTATAATATTTATAACAATATCCATGACAGCAAATGTAACTTTTCGCAACAATATGAAGATATAAAAGATAGAGAAGAATGTCATGTATTTCTCATGGTTTTAAACTTATGTCGAAATTTGGAAACTAGCAATATTTGTACTGGAATCGTGCTCTGGGGAAGATAGAAAATAGAATGAATTATCACCTTTCTGCTTCATAAAATATTCTCAAAGTAAAAAGGACTCTCTTTTAGTTCATAAATAAACTCTTTCGAATTTTTTTAAAAATTACAAAACTTCTAACATTGCACCAGACTTTGAATTTGAAATTTGATGGATAATATTTTTATAAAGTACTCTATTTATAAAAAAAAATTAAAAACGGGCCTACTCTCTATTACTACTTTTTTTCTCTCGTCCAATGTGACGATTTCTTTATTTATATAGATGATCATTTTCAAACAAAAAACTTCCTTCTGTTTTGCATGATGCACCAAGTTGTACAAGACAATTCTTCTGTAAACACGCTTATGTTAATAACTGTGTTTATTTATGAATAATAAACGAAAGTTTTAGAAATCAGTTATAAATGTGCATAGTTTTGTGAGCTTAATAGGATATATGCATGCTTAAGTCAACTGAAGCAAATAATCGTAAAGAAATTGGAGATTTTGTCTTTTCCTATATAAAACCGATAAAAATCGGTTTAAAAATGTCTTTTTTAAAAAAAATTGTTTACATTAGCATCCTTTGCATACCAACTAAAAATTAATTAATCCATCAATTTTGTTGATGGTGCGCCAACCTTAAATTTACTTCTATTAACTCGTGAGAATTTGTTGTTCTCTATAATTATATGTTCATTTGATTAATTAATATCTAAAATACGTGAAATGTTAGTAGTTGTTATATAATTAATTCTCAAAGTGGCACGATTAGATATCTTTTTACGTGACTTGTAATTTTTGTAGGAATATTATGAAATCACGAGTTCGATTATTCATTATTTTTAAATACAAGAAAATCACAGTAAATGTGAAGGTTCATTTTCGATGAATGATAAATAATCAATATTAATATTTAAAGTAATATCACTTAAATTATCACTTACATAATTTAATAGATAAATTAATATTAATATGAACTTTCACTAAAAATGACTGTCTACATCAATATTTTTAAAGTAGACATCTTTTTGTTAAATAAGTAATAATCGATACTAATGATTAATATATTTATTATTAATAAAGGACTACGTTAGCAAACCTAAAAATTTAACTGATTTCATCTATGAGTGAAATCCGCAGTTATTTAGTCGCCAGCCTAAAAGTACACATTGAATGAATATGAAAATTTCATGAAATATGAATTTTTTTATTACTTTTATATAAGTTTTTGATATAGATTTCATTTATCAATTTATAATACGTAAACCTGCATTTATTTTTATTTATTTAAATTAATGCCACTACTTATACCTAAATACCAGTTTAAGATGTACCTTCTCAAAGGGATCTCTTTAATTTTTAATTACTCTAAGTAACCAAAAAATGCTTCAACTATAACAAATTGTTCATAAATATTATTCTTTTTTACTGACAACTCGGTAATTATATCCCGTGAAAACAAGTATATAGAATTATAGGCGATAAAAACTTTATACGTGCTTTATACTCGTCTGAAATATTTTTATAGTTTTTACGATCCGCACGGCTTCAATCTTGCTGAACATTAAAATAATTGCTGATTCTTTATGTTAAAATATAGACGAGACTCCCATGGTAATAAAAATACTCCAATTTGCAATATGAAATTGGATTAATACTTTACTTTTTGATTTTTATTATTTTTTGAGTAGAAATTACTGAATATTGAACATCTTTTAGAATGTTAGATTTAATCATATATAATACTTAAAAAATGTTTCTATTTTTTATTTGTCTTGTTCATAGATAAAAAAAAAAGTATGAATAGATGGCAAACACGTTTGCTTTGCCATTTTCTTCATTTCAATTATTTCTGCATTCCAAAGGAACGCTACTAATTTTAGTACGTAAATTGACCCCTTTGTTCTCATCTTCAACTAAATCACAAATGTTTTTGCAAAAACATGATAAAAAAAAATTAAACGTTTAAAGTACGTGTATTATAATAAGATAATCAGTTTTATAAAGTGGGTTCTAAATTTGAGCACGGTAGACCATCTGTTGAGCGCGGAAAAACACTAAAACAGGGTCTAGGTCTAGCACATTTGTTCTAGGAGTTTTTGCAGGTTGTACTTAGAATCAAAAATTTAAAATACTATTACTTAAAATACTTTGAATTATGTACTATTATTTGAAATATTTGCATCGGTGCTTTTTTTCTTTTTACACTAGATGTTCCGTATTTTTTCTGGTTACTCAAGACCTGTCCAGGATGCGTCTATTAAAAAAAAAGTCCATTGCGAGCTCTGATAGTATTCGCTTCGGCGGTTCGCATTGCTTATATTATCCGAGCAGACCCGCCATATACTTTCTTTAGAAAACCATAGAGCAGATCTCGACTAAATTCGCATATTTATAGGTTTCACACTACTCCGACCTACCGCTCGTTTCTCATAATGCATTTGATTTTATCTCCGTACCTTAATCGGTAATCGTTGATCTGAATAAGGAATTGATCGATCGATAGATCGATTGATCGTTCGATCGATCTAAATTTGCAATAAATGATACCCGGGCGTGTTGGTCGTGCGAAGTTAACTTGATGTTCAGCTTTTGCTTATTTATGTGCCTTATCGGGGTCACCAGTCTAATTCTTCATTCGAAAACTGGTTACAGTAATTTTAGGTAGTTGATTGTTAAATAAGTTATTAAACACTTTTATTATTACTTAAATTATGACTTTTCTATTATTTCTACTTTTTGCAACTAATCTCTATTGTTCATCTATTCCATATACCAATGTAATATTACGTTCCATTTGTTCAATCTGAATTCGCATAATAAAATCGTTGATTCTCTATTATAGATTTCACTTTTGGTTCACGTACACCCGCAGGCTTATTATAAAGTTTAATTTTAATTTATCGCCTTACTTTCTTGAAAAGAAACGCATTTCGTGTGCAACGATAATTGAGAATTGCGAATAATTTCATACGCAAGAATGGAAATAAATTATAAATATTAGAATATAAATGTTCAGAGTACGAAGATTTATTTAATATAATTTTCTAAAAGCATGATTGTACCTAATTAATCGTTCTTTATTAAACTTTGGATAATTTTTTAATTAATCTACTATTTTCTGCACCAGGAAAATATTTTTTTATTTTTTAAAGTACGGATTATATCTACTGATGTAAACTTATACACATACTGGCTTACATATAAATTAATTTATAATAGGTCTCGCTAATCAGTTGACATAATTTTTTTAAACGAATAAAGCTTTGAGAACAAATTTTGATCTTTCAAGCAATATAACTGATCAGTTGTTTTTGATCTTGCTAAATGAAATGGCATCTTGTAAAAACAAAACTATTTTTTTTTTTGAACTGTTTTATTTTAAATGCAAAGTAAAACCTATATCAAATAGTTGTGTTAAATAAGAATTAAAAATGTTAGTTACAAAAATAGTATATTTTTTTTACCTTTTGCCCATTTTCTTCTTTTCCAGAAAAACGAGGTCTCAGTCCAGCCTCGAACTCCAACGCCGCCGGCAACGTCGGCAACGGCGGCGGGGGTCCTCCGGCCGAGCCGAAAGTTCCAAGAAAAATCATTTCTTCGAAACGACCCGTATCTTCTGCGAAATCTGCACCACTGAAAGGTATGTTTGTTCAACTGTATATTTACTATTTACTATTTAGACACCGAACGTTCAATCGGCTTTGGTAATTTTATCGCCTATTATTACACGGAAGCCGTATTCTCATTTCCTTTAGTTATCCGCGTATTTCATTAATGGAAAATGAAATTACCACCAGCGGAAACAATAGGCAGAACATACAAATAATTTGAAAACGTTGGATCGATTTCTCTGAATCACGAATTGAATTGCATATAAATTCTATGGGAATAGTAATAAAAATTACACACATATCTTTATTAATATTCTCATAGAGTGAGGTGTAAAAATTAATGTATGGAATGTACGAGTTCAAGAAGTCTTCAAGGGTTTCTAATCGTTTTATGTAAATATTTATTAACCTGAAACTAACGTTATTTTTGCCAGAAAATCCAATTTGCTAATTTTATATTTTCACGGCGTTTGGAATCATTTTGAGGCGTTTGACACCAAAATTGGGAGAAGTACCTGGGTGTGAGCCAACGCTTGGCTTTTTGTCGATGTTTTGTCAAAAACTGCTTCACCGATTTTAAAAGTTTAAAAACAATTTGACAAGTCAGGGCTGTTATCATCCAATGGATTACGTGGATGCTTTCCACATACTAAAATATCTATTATCACCATTGACCTATTATATATCAATTACCAAAATCGCCAAATTCTTCGACCACAATGCATTATTCCGCAAGCTCTCGATAATTTCCTTTCTTGCATTGATAAATTGTACAAAAGTTTCGAATTTTGTAGAAAGTTAGTTGTTCACTATATATGGATATTTTTCGTGTGAATCGTTTTGATTTCACAGTCTAATTATTACTGGACGAGTAATAAGACTTTGCTTTGGTATCAATTAAACGTTATATTATTTAGGTTGTGAAAACGAGAGTCAGGTAGTGTGGTTTATGGGTTATATGCATTTTATTTTTATACACGGTAAATTTTACTTTATACGTCGATTTTTATGCTTTCCGAACGTATAATAATAATTAATCATCTGCGAGAAGTGATACACGAGGAAAAGTATTAAACCGTGGTAATTGATTATGTGTAATTAATGACTTGTTTTTATTAGCAAGTTGGAATTGATAATTATATTTGTATTTATTGGTGTATACAAATTCGTACTGAATATTTGAAAATTGAAGTACCTACTAAGTCATATAATTTTTATTAGATTTTTGTTATAATTTAGTTTGTTTAAAAATGAGTTACAAACAATGAAGTAATGGAAATAAATACATAACTCATAATTAAATAAATAATACGTTATGTTATATTCCGGTATCTCATAATATAATTATTATTATTAGTTACATAAAAAATTTACATATTGGCTTTCTCAGAAACTATGATTAACATTTGCGATATGGCATCTATATTTTTGTAAAAGTTCCTTTATCATAACTAAAATTATTCAACGTTTTATTTTTTTTGAAAGTATTATATTTTTAATACTTTGGTTTTTTTCATTGTGAAAATTAAAGAAGCATAAAGCAAATATCTTTATAAAAAACATACATAAATGTTTTAGTTGAAAAACAAAGAGAATAGTGTTAGATATTTGTACCAAGCAGTACTCTGCGTTTATGACGCCATCCATATATAACTAAGATTTTGATTGATTACTGAAACAATATTTGCATACATAATTGTAGTTGAGCTTTAGCAATAATTTTATCTTCAACAATGTTCATTCCACCTATGACAGAATGCTGTCTTAAGTGCATAACATTTTTATAGAATGAATGAAGAGTGTTACAGGTGAGTAGGCGTCCATGAGAATTTATCATGAGAAAATAAGTTAGTGTCTCTCAATGAACATCTGTTCCCAAGGCGCGTACCGACAACTATTTTCACTTTGGGAGTGGTATAAAAGATTTAGATTGTTTTATAGAAAATATATTTTTTTTTTTTTGTATTTATTTTTCATAGCAAGCTATACAAAGTACATTCAGCTACATTTGTTACAGTTATATATTATTTGTCTGCGTGAGAAGGATCGCTATCCTGCGATAGAAAATAAATGGAATAGATTTATTTTTGTGCACTGTTTATCGTAATAACTCTTTATGATTCTCGACATCACCCATCTAGTGTATCAATTGCAAAAACAAAAACTAAAGATGATTGAAACATAATTATCTAATAAAAATGTCAAGATATAGATTTTTAACCACCAATAGGGTAAGTTATAGTAATGGGCCGAAAATCGAAAATGTAAATTTTGCATTTCTTATTGTTTTGAAGGTTACTGAATATTTTGGAATACAAAAGTGTGTGTGCGTGTGTTTGTTTTGTGTGTCCACATTTTTTCCTCTACGTTTTCGGGCGCTCGAATAATTCTTTATATATTATTATTTGTATCTATATCTTTAAAATATAATTTTTGCGAGTCTAATCCAACGAATAATTGGTAGGGAGTCGTATTGTCTTCAAGTGGTAGGAGAAAGATGGGAAAGTCCGCGATAAAGAAAGTCCCATTCAGTCTCCATGAATTGTTCATAGCGCAATACGTATTAAAAATAACACTTGTCCATAGTTTATAATTTTGGCAAGTCATGAAAAATGTAATACTTAATAGACTTTCATTTGTTTGAAAAGATTGACGCCTAGCAACAGAAACGTTCAATGGCTTGTTTATGAGCATTTTGTTTTAAGTAAATATTTTTGTGTACTTGTGGTGATAATGTTGTGTTCAGTGATCAAAGTTTGAAGTTCCATTATAATTTTTTACAATGGGTCTTCACAACCGTTTAGTCTCCTTATTCGGTAGCACGACTGATATTAATAATAATATAATGGAAACTCTGCTAAAAAGAAGTTTTCCAAAAAGAAAGACTATGGTAGTGAAATGGACTTGTACGCAAAAACCGGTGTTAAAGTGCGTAAAAGTTGCACCATTTGGAACTCCATGAGGTCAACCCATAAGAAGAAAAAGGGGGGATAAAGGTCAGTTTTATATGAAAAAAATTTTGGATAATGCATTTAGTGGCAGAATTTTGTGATTTCTAGAGTTTGCTTTGGAGAATACGATAAAACATAGGAATAGAAATCTATTTGATAAAATTAGTAATACATACGACGAGGGAAACAATATTTACCCTAAAATGTCCTGGTGGCTTCGATTTATTATTTTATTACAAAATCTGATGATCACATATAACATTTCATAATAAACGTTAAATAATTAGATCCAAATTCAAATCTTTTACTTTATGGACTCATAATATTCCTTTTAATTTCTTTTTTGTCAGGTGCATATCAGAAAGCAGTTATACTGATAGACTTTAAAATTTAGTAGGTAATCATTTTATGGTAGTTTTGAAATCTCCCATTTAATTATATAAATTTATTTGGAATAGTTAGCAAATTTGTTTTTCAAAAGTAATACTGAATCTTTGACTTAATAATGGCTTCTGGAGCAGACTTTTATTACGCTGAACTATATGGGACTGAACAATTTCTAATGAGAATTTTTCAACATATAAATATCATTCTCATTACTTCCATTTGCTTATTTTATAAAAAAAAAATGTTTTACTTTTATTTAATTTTTTTTTAATTGTTAACCACTTACTTATGTGCGCCGCATTTTTTTTACTTGTAAGTAGACAATTTTTAAAATTATATTTTTAAATAATATCCATCAATCATTCGTGCCATTAATTATATATTATATGACTACAAAATACATTATTTTACACATCTATCAAAAGAAGAAAATGGTACTACTTACCTCTTACATGACCTCAAAAAAATTTTTTGGATGACCCCAACACATCAATTTATAATTACTAATAATATGCATATCCAACACCTCATTTATTAATAGCAAATAACATATTAGTATCATAATATAATTTATTAATTATATTTATTGGGTCACTGTTAATGACATTTTGATAAATGGAGATACTTCATTATATATAATATATAATTATATATAAAACTGTCTAATTACCTGCAAGGTAATTTCCATTAATAGTTATTTTAATTATTTGCAAATTTAATAACGGAATATGTTTGGTTTGATAAAATTATTTATACCTCAAAAGAAAACTAGATTCCCAAAATCTAGACTCCCCTCGACAAAAATATTGCTACTAATTTAAAATTATTACCAAAGAAAGCAAATAATGCTCAAAAATGTTTCTTTTTCGTTAATTTTTTACAACATTTGTCATTTCCAAATAGTTAATGATAACTTTTACCTCGTTATTAAGATGGAACATTGTAATTAAATTCAAATTGTGTAAGAAATCTATTAAAAACTCATAAAATTTTGCTTACCTAAAGTTCCCATGTCAACTTTTGAAGAACACATATGCATTGTTCAACGTGGAAAAAAGAAATTATATATTTTCTTCACATTTTATTTATCTGAACATAATTTTTCACTTTTATAAAAATAAATTTACATGTTTGTAGCACAGAAGTAGAACAAATTAGAAAATAGTAGGAACTTATTCATATTTAAATTAATGGTAAAGTTTTTTCACCTTATGGGTTGATAGTATGGCATTTTTAACTGATTTATCACTAGCATTTTGAACTGATTTTTAATATACGATTTGTTTAGTTTCTTGGACCCACAATGTGTCACTTCACACTAAATAATTCTTGTTTGCACACACATCTTACTAAATTATCATTAGTTCGTCTTCACAGAAAAAACCGTCTTTATTTATGATTGTTCAAAAGGTTTTAAACGTAGTCCTATTAATAGGACTTCAGATATCTACTACTATATTTATTTCTGTGATGCAATTTGAAGGCAGTTGACAGTTTTGTTGGCTCTTCAGTGTTTTTTCGTATTTTTTCGATGTTTCCTATTAGTGATTTGCTATTCGGTCGAGTGGATTTAAAATCTAAGAAGCGCCGGAACTGCGGATAAAAAAAATTGTAATACAAGGTAGCACGATTTTTTATAAAATCGAGGACACGCTTCGATTGAGATGTTGATTTTTCTAGTAAAAACATTTTGTCGGAAATTTTAAATTCGCATTCTTCAATTTGTAGACACTGCGCGATTTGCACTTGAAACCCAATAGATATTTAGACAAATATCTATGAGTTAATTATACTTTTTCTACAAATGAGTTATAAATTCTGTATTTATTGATTCAGGAAATAAGGTAACTATCCTTATAATGCTTTCAGTCTTGTCTACTTGGATTACCGGTAACCAATTTATTTACAATTTTGGTCAAATGTGATCGATTTTTTTACAATCAGTAATCCTTTTTATTTACACTTATATCTATAATAGAATTTTAATTATTAGTGACTCACAAAAAATTGCAAAAAACTTTTGTAGCTTGATATCAATTGCTTGGATTTCTAAATATTTGTAAATTAATTACTAGTTAATCTATCCGGAAAATGCAGATAACCATCAATATTTCGAATAAAATGAACTTTATATGAAAAGAATTTCATCTACAGATGATTTTTTTATTATAGTACATTCCTCTCATGTCGTGAAAAATATTAATTCATATTTATTACTTGTTATTATGATGGACACATTGAAATATGATGCTCTCAAATTACAACATTGCAAGGAAAAGATATCAAACTAACGAGCATTCACTTTTAGTTACTTATATAGTATATACTATATAGTAATATAATAGTATTTTCATTTCATATTTTCAAGATTTTTTTTTAAAATTACAGGCATTTTATGAAACCTTTATTAAACATCTCGTCAATTCATTATTTTTACAAATTTAATCAAATAGAGCAACGTTTTTGCACAATAAGTACTTTAATCTATATGTTTTCCTTAATGTTTTATTTTTGTATTATTAGCTACCATTTCATATATTTTCATAAAAAAAAAAACATTTATATTTATATTCAATTGTCATCAAACGGGTAATTTTTATTGTATATTATTTTTGTATTTTTATCTTCATCAAATAATTTTTTATCTTCTCTTTTTTCGAATAGAGCACAATAGAGATATCAAATAGAGTAACATAGAGCTATCGATATAGAGCTCTCGAATAGAGCAACATATAGAGCTTCCGATTAGAGCAATATAGAGCTACTGAATAGAACAATAGAGGTTTTTCACAGACTATTATTTTACTAAATTCAAAAAAATTTATTAATCACAACTTTTCTCCCACATTAATAATATTATTATTTGCCTTTTATGATACGGGTTTTTCTGTAATAAGCATACTACCCCTTCTTCTTTAATTCAAATGTACTATAATATTATACACTTAAATATTAAATCATGTTTATAAGTGGTTATAGCACGGACCCTAATAAAGAAAAATCTATTCGTGTTCAGTAAAAATATCTATAAATAACTCTTTTCAAATATCTTTAGTATTATAGAAATTGTTAATATAGATTTGTACTGCACGCATTTAATATCTCGACTTCTGTATGAGAAAGTTCCTCCTTGTGAATTGGTAGACGCACCAAAACAATATATAGTACTTTATATTTTTCGTTGGCTTTTCATATGCTTACACGTATCTTTAAACAGACTTATAATCTACAAACCACCAATCTTTCTCAGTATCACATTTCATATCTCAATCTCTATATGACAAAGTTGCTCCTTATGAATTAGTAGGGGCTCTAAAACAGTATATAGTTTATTGCATTTCTTC